CCATACGGGAACAGCAGTACAAAATACAGAGGTGCATACGTCGGATGAAGATCACTGATTTTAACCAACGGGCCATTGCGGCGTCGGAGAATGATGTCGCGAGGTTCCGTGCCGGGCTGGTTGGGAAGGATGACAGCGACCTCATCTGCAGTGGGCACGTTTCCTCTTCGGGCATGAACACCTGGTGCAACACGCAGACGAATTGAAACATCCTCGCCAGCGTTAGCGGGCTGCTGCGACAGGACCTCGTGGCAATGCAGAAAAAGCGGTGCATATTGGTGATTGTCGTGTATCACATGCTGGAGAAGTTCCATGGTGTCTCGCCGTAAGTTAGCATTGTTTTGCATTCGATAATTCAGAGCTGCTTGGGGGTCATAAATGTAAAGTTGCGCATAAGTCGGTGTATGCCCGGGAGAAGGTGTAAGTGCACCAGCCCGATGGCAAAGCTCTCCGTGAATGCGGAACACAGGTGGTCCACCACCATTGTTGAGGGATTTGTCCTCGGCGACACCAAGGGAAGTGAATGAGAGTGCTGTATTGTACTGAGCAATATTCTTTCGAAACTCTTTCGACTGCATCATATTAGTACTCGTATAGCCATATTGTGGCCTAATTTTCTTACCTGAGTATCATTTCTAACAAAGAGTTGATAGAGGGCATCAGGCGGCTTCTGAAGAATGGGGAGGTCGACCTTCCCGTGGTTACAGCAAGTGCCGAATTCGGGTGCTCGTGCCGTAGATGCTGCAGTTTTTTCGGCAAGCCAATGAAGAGCATGGCAGTAGCGGCACTCAACATCCATGCGGCCGAGGTCGTGTCATTGCTCAGGCTCCGTGTATGGCCGCCGTGCGAGTGGAAGGTCTACGTTCATAATCAGCCACTGGAACACTGTCCTGCAAGCAATAAATTTACCTCGGATATTTTCACGCTGCTGTCGTTCGCGTTGGCGACGGGTTTGCTGAGCCAGCATGCGGGGATTTGGCTGTTGACCCTCTTGTGGGGCGGGCACAGGCCAGCGTGGTCTTCGCTGTCTGTTTTCAGGTTCTTGCTCGGGCGGTTGTTGTTGTTGTGCGGCAGCTTCACGTCGGCGACGCTCTTGTTGACCGCGAGAACGTGCATTCGGAGCTGTTTGAGCAGGGGTAGGGAGCTGCTGGTTTCTGGCACCAGGATTCGGGGGCAGAGGTGGAGGCGGCCGCGCTGCTGCTGCTGCTGCTGCTGCTGCTGCTGCTGCACGTTCGCGGTCCCGCCGCCTTTGCTGTGCCAGTGCTCGCGCATTAGGTACGACAGTTGCTTGAGGTGTTGGGAGACCAAAAGAGTTTCCAGGTAGCTGTTGTTAGAGTGAGCATTAGAAGACCGAAGACCGAATTTGAATAACGTACTGGAGCCGGTGGATTGTGGGAGGGCCCTGGAGTAGGTGACACCGGTCGATTCTCGTTGTTTTGAGGGCCAGGTGTACGGCGTCGACGACGACTCGGCGTTTCTTGGAGAGCCTGATGCCGCTGCCGCTCTGCCTCCCGTTGGGATGAGCGCTGTGATTCCAAAGAAGACTGTGGCGCGTTCCGGTCGCGCTGGTCAAGGTTAGTTATGTCTTGAAAAGGATTTTCACATCGGGGAGAGCGTTGAAGGCCAGGCGAGCGATATATGGGTGACATCGCGCTGTGGCGTGCGTCACGAATGCCAGGCCGCCGGCGGTGGGCCAAGGAAGAGAAGGTAGTGGGAAGAGGAGGGGTCCTGTGGCGAAAAGAAATTAGTATCTCGGCGGTCTCGATGTTTTTTAGCCACTCACATTTGGAAATAGAAAAGTAGCAAGAGCGCGAGGAGAAATATGAGATGTCTTGTCATTGACGACGTTGAGGGAGGCAGAGTTGAGCCTGCGTCTTGAGCTTGAACGGGTGAGGTCGTAGGACGATGCGCCAGACGTGGGATCAAGCGGCGGGAACTCAAGGGCATAACTTCACACGCACACCAGTAAAGACAGCCCCACCAGGTTTCATTTTTGAGTACAGACACAAAGTGCTTACTTCTATCCTCAGGAGTCCACTCTACAGTACTCTAATGCAGCAAAAGGGTTGGCAGAAAGTTGTGGTGATTTGTCGTCCATGGTCCGTGCAGTCAGAAAGTCAAGAAGTCTGGAAGTCAAGAAGTCTGAGTGGTCAAGGTAGTCGGGCCAGAGTTGGAGATCCGTGGCAAGGACGCTTGGAACAGAGACAAAGGAGCGAGGGAAGTCGAGAGCGAAGCGGTACGTGTTGTTTGTCCCATGTTTGTCTCAGCATTTGTCTCAATGTTTGTCCGGGTCTTTGTCTTTTGTATAATAGATACAGGTGGGCTCAATATTTGACTTGGCGCTGACGAACCAAAATGGCACCGTGAGAACCTGCCCGGCAGCAAATCCCCCCTCCATTGCGTGCGTATAGAATGCAACATCAATTTCTGTTACTGGCCTGCACAAGTTCTCGGTGTATTAAATATATGCCAAGCTACACTTGAGATACATTAGTAGTATTTACGTGTGGTGTTTGGAACCAATCGAGAAGTGGTTAACAGGTATTATCCTGTTCACACGCAAGGAGGTTGCTGTCCGTGTGCTCGCTTCAGAGTGGGTTTATTTTGGATTACTTCAGGTCGGCGTCAGGATCATTAAGTTGTGAACATTGCCCTCGTGCGGGCCATAAAGATAAAATGGCCACTGACTGGGCCAGTCTGGCTAAAGATGCTGCACAGAATTATCTGAATGACTTCATATAGCTGACTTGGCAAGACGGGATTTCTTGCAGGCGTTCTCGGGTCATCGAAACATCTGATCCATTGAATCCGAGTACACTAAGTTAATGTTAACGCGTTAACGGGCTGAGGCTCCGCTAGCACCTCTCTAACAATGTTCACATGATCTCAGATGCCTGGAACGCGCGTTTATCGGGACTGACTTGAATGATCCGCAAAGTATGCTTAGAATGTCAGAGCCTCAGACAGATTTTTGCGCCCCCAATCATGCATTGGATGTGAACAAGCCAATGCGGTCGAGCTTGGATAAGGGTAAGGACGGTCAAGAGAGCAAGCCACCCAAAGTAGTCTCTCTACAGCCACTTCGAAGGCTTGCGCACCCGTGCGGTCGGTTGTCGCCCGTCGTCGCCATATGGGAAATGCAAGTATATACGGTGAGGGAAGATACTGATTGGATATTGATACTGAAGCTAGTATGTTGTATATCGTGCAACCACGGGAATATGTTACTTCACTTGGTGTGTAAGTACATCAAGGAAACTTACGCGCCAAGTAGAGTAAAGTTACGGTAAAGGTAAGGATAGTAGAGTTCTTCTCGGGAAAACTACACACATTGAAGCCACGCATAGAGCCAAATTAAGCATCTCAAGTTCAACTTGGGTGCAATCACATATATCAGTATTGTGTGAACTACTGACCAGCACCGGTTCAATAAAGTCTTGAGCTCTGATGACCGTAAGGGTGCGTCAGATGAGCTGTCCCCGTGCATGTGAGCGACCCCCACCAACCTTATTTGTGGGTGTTCACCCAAAATCTAGTAGAGCGCACCCAGGTCATTCTACGCCATTTGATTTGTGTTGACCGAAATGCTTGTGTGGGTGTTAATTCATGCCCTGTACGCCATAAATATGGCCGTAGAATGTTTGGAGAGGATAATAGCTCTAGGGAGGGGAAACCACCTAACCGTGCAATTAAAAGTTAAAATCACCAGCCGTGGGAAAAGTCACGTAAAGTCAAGTAAAGTTCGACGCAGTCAAATTGGCACGTAAGTAAAGTTCCAAGTTAAGGGGAAAAGTTCCTTTATTCACTCTCGCTGCCAGGTACTCGTAATCGCTGAAGTCCGGGGTTCGACTCCCCGCATCTGAATTCGGATACAATATTCATATTCCTTTTTTCTCTGGAACGATGATTCAATCCATTGCCTAATCTCAAACGCATAGCCCTGCTGATTTAGGATCAACCTATTTACTGCTGGTTGCAATGATTCAAACACCGATTCCTCTTTCACTCATCCTCAGGTTTCAAGCAACGTAAATGAATCGGATGTGGTGCATGGTGCACGTCAGTGTCAAATGAAGGATGGACGCATTTGTAATCGCTGAAGTCCGGGGTTCGACTCCCCGCATCCGACTGTAGTCTCTTGATTGAGTTCTTTTTAGGATGCTATCATTGCGCGGATGACTCTCCTCACTGGATCATGACCACTGGTGGACCATGCTGATGATGAATATAGATTTCCCGTAAGCATCGTTCTGGGTTTCTGCGTGTAAGGACGTTTGAAGGACTTTGGAGGTCAAAGGAAAGCGTGCAACTGCGAATTGATTCACCCTCCTCCTCTGGTTCAGATAAAGGTAAATACATCGGACGTGGTGCACGTTGCACGTCGGGTCCGCGTCACGTGGTACAGGTGGTGCTTGATGTCTAAACCGAAGTCCAGAGTTCGACTCCCCGCATCCGAATCCCACCGTGGTGCAATCGTTTTTTTGGGGGGGGATCAGGATGTAGTAGGTCAGCGGAAGTGTGCATGAAGATAGAGATAAATAATCATCGTTATCTCATTGCGCGCGCCGCAGGCGCCCATAAGCTCGGACCGCGCCCAAGGGGTGTTGAGGTCGAAAGCTCTGGACGTGACTACCCAAAATCTCGTTGCCAGGACCCCGGATACCAGAACCACCAAGTTGACTCACAGTATTATTTCTGTTGTTTGATGTTCAATCAGTGTAATTATCTCTCACTCATCCTCTGGTTCAGATAATGTTAAATAATTCATATGTGGTGCACGGTGTACGTCAGCCTCACTTGGATTACAATGTCGTGATGGCTGAAGTCCGGGGTTCGACTCCCTGTGTCCGAATGATCACTGCTCAACCACTTTTTTTCCCCGTCCCGGCATGCCAAAAAAAATTATGTTTTCTTTCGAAGATTCCGCTGTCCTCCAACATGATTGAATGCAATGTAACTTTTGGCACTTGTATACTGAGGTTCGAATGGCGGAGAATGTATCGGATGTGGTGCATGGTGCACGGTGCACGTCAGTGTCGAGTACGTCGACTATACAGAGAAAAGTCTTGATAACTGAAGTCCGGGGCTCGACTCCCCGCATCTGAAATCGAATTCAAATTCCTTTTTGCTCTGGAACGATGATTCAATCCATTGCCTACTCTCAAACGCGTATGCAGCCCTGCTGGTTTTTGGCTCTCAACCTATTGTGTACTGCTGGCTGCAATTAACTTACTTATTTCACGCCAGCCTGCAATGATTCAAAACAGTGATTCGCCTTTCATTCATCCTCAGGTTTCAAGCGAAGTAAATGAATCGGATGTGGTGCACGGTGCACATCGGCGTCAAATTATAAGTCCAAGTGCTCATAATCGCTGAAGTCCGGGGTTCGACTCCCCGCATCCGAGCTATCGCGGTGCTCGATACCTCTTCTTTATTCGGCCTGAATAGATTTTCGAATTCGCTGCCCTCCTGATTTATTTGGAGATTTTTTAAGGGAGAATGATGCGGATGCAATTGTCCCCAATTACCAAAATCATAAAGGAGTGCGCGTCCCAAAACCAGAACGGGTAAGTAGATGCTAAATCGCGTTTTGTGTGTTTGATTATTTCTCACTCATCCTTTGGTTCAATGGATAGAAAGTACCTCGGATGTGGTGCACGGTGCACGTCGGCGTCAAATACGTTATCGATGTATCTATTGGTAATCGCTGAAGTCCGGGGTTCGATTCCCCGCATCCGACTGGAGGACTTCCACTTTTTTTTTAAAAAAAATTGCGATCATCGCGCGGATAAATCTCCCCATTGGATGATGAATACTGGTGATGATAAATGTATATGTTCCGCACACACATCGCTCTGGGTGTATGGCCCTTGAGGCTCAAAGGAAAGCATGCAACTGCGCACCCTCATCCTCTGGTTCAGATAAAGGTAAATATGTCGGGTGTGGTGCACGGTTCACGTCAGCGTCCAATAAGTCGGCCACCTGGTATTAGACCGAAGTCCGGGGCTCGACTCCCCGCATCCGAATATTCATCCCATGTCATTCTCTCTCTCTTTTTTTTTACCTTCGTTGCCGCGTGAGTAAAGGAAATCTACTATGCTCACCACTGAGTAAATAACAAGACAAGCACTTGATCATTCACTCCCCGCTTCCAGTGTGTATAGAAGGAATTCGCTGCTAGCGGCTCAAACTGACTCTTGTCAATTTTTTTTTTTCAATGTTCAACTACATACTTTCATTAAATCACACTCATCCCAAAGCTCAATAGATGGTAGATACATCGGGTGTGGTGCACGGTGCACGTCAGTGTCAGCTAGGTGTGCCCCCCCAAACTGGGCTGAAGTCCGGGGTTCGACTCCCCGCAATCCGAACTTTGTCGAAAAGGTGTTTTTTTCCCCTTCTTTTCGGCCTGACTAAAAATCCACCAGCAAACAAAAAGACAAGCTGCTCATCCTTCAGCCTCCCTTTCCAGTCTGTTTGGATGTATAGAAAGAATTCGTTGCTAGCACGCCGAGCTGACTCACAGTATTATTTTGTGTTTGGTGTTCAATCAGTGTAGTTAATTTCACTCATCTTCTGGTTCAATCGATAGAAAGTACGCCGGATGTGGTACACGGTGCACATCAGCGTCAGCTCCACATGTTGAGCCCCAAACCCAATGTACAGAGTTGAAGTCCGGGGTTCGACTCCCCGCATCCGAGCTATCGCGGTGCTCGATACCTCTTTTTTTTTCCGGCTTGAATAGATTTTCGAATTCGCCACCCGCATCTAGTCTCCCTAGTCAGACCAAATGATCAGAATCGTTTTTCTAAAAAAAAAAAAGACGAAAAAGAACTGATATATGGTCTGATTTTACTCGCGCTATGAAAGCCGTAGGTCAGGCTTCCGGTTAAGGAAATACTGTAAAAGGAGATTTGATTGGGTCTCACGCTCAGCTTTCTCGTTTTGTTGACCGTGCCGGGTCTCCTGGCATGTATTAATTCCCGGGAGGCTCTAAACTTGGTTTAAGAATCATTTGTAAAGTTTTCCATTCAATCCAAAGTGCAAAATGCCCCATTGTAGGCTCGCCGGTGAATCCCGAGGAAGTGGCAGTGCCTGAGTTCACACGGGTTCAGAAAGTGAGCTGAGGTCTGGTGCTAAAGTATGGCATAATTTGTGTGCTGAAAGAACTTCAGGGAGGTTCTAGTATCAAATTGGTCCACTTCACTCTGCTAACATCGCGGCGGCGCGTCGTTCGGCCTTGCGCGCAGGATCACGTGCGTCGGAAGCGCGACCGACGGCTATCATAGCGCGAGTAAGACTAGACTAACCCGCATCTAAGTAGAGATTTTTCAAGTGAGAGTGATGCGGATGTAGTTGTCCCGCGCTTTCAAGAATCAGAAGGGGTGCGCGTCCCCAAATCATAACGGGTAGATGCCAAATATTATTCACATTTGAGGTGGCTTCAACCACAGGTATTTCTCACTCATCCTCTGGTTCAATGGATAAAGGTACCTCGGATATGGTGCACGGTGCACGTCGGCGTCCCATTAATCGACTGGCTCGTACTAGGCCGAAGTCCGGTGTTCGACTCCCCGCATCCGAACTTCCACAATCCCGAGATTTTTTTTTACTTTCGTTCCTGCCTCAGTAAATAAAAATTCACTATCCTAGCCAGACATTCGTTAGTCTCCCGTATTTGGATGTACGGAAATAATTCTTTGCTAGTATGTCGGATGTGGTGCACGGCGCACGCCAGCGTCATATGAACTCGTCGAAAGACTGTGTGATCAGCTGAAGTCCGGGGTTCGACTCCCCGCATCTGAATTCGAATATCGGCTCATATTCCTTTTTTCTCTGGAACGATGATTCAACCCATTGCCTACCCTCAAACGTGTATGCAGCCCTGCTGATTTATAACTCTCAACCTAACTACCTGCTGGCTGCAATTACGCCAAGTTGAACATGCCTGGAATGATTCAAAACACGGATTCGTCTTTCACTCATCCTCAGGTTCAAGGGGAGGAAATGTAAGTCGGACGTGGTGCACGGTGCACGTCGGTGTCACATGCAGTGGCAGGTACCTGATGTCTAAACCGAAGTCCGGGGTTCGACTCCCCGCGTCCGAATTCGCCTACCGATTGAGATTTCTTTTTCTTTTTCTTGCGGCCACAAAGGTTCGCTTCTTTGAGGTTCGCCAACATAGAAGGTATTCTTAACTCTGCCGAGAAATCTGGCGGTGATGACGCGCCTCGCAAAACCCGTCATACAAATCGAGTTGAGCATGAAGGAACTGAAATCTCACTCATCCTCTGGTTCAAGTGGAGGAAATACATCGGGTGTGGTGCACGGTGCACGTCAGCGTCAAATGATAGACTCGTAACCAGTCTGTAACTAATTGCCGAAAATGTGGCAAGTACTTCGGTGGTTACAGACTGGTACAACTCGTTGACAGCGATTGGGCTGTCCCCGGAGTTTAAAATTTTGGCAGGTGCCGCGATCGGCCGCGAAGCGAGCCATCAATATCTGTCAATTCTGGTCAAAAGTTGATAGTTCTTTACACTCTCCCAAGCTGGATTAAAAAATAAGTGAAGAGGCAGATTTCGTCATTTTAAGGGAAAAAATGGTCCCATGTGTCCCAAATTTATTCATATCCAAACTGCACCCCAGAACAAGACCCTCGCAAAAATTTCAAACTCCGCGGTCAGCCCAATCGCCGTCAACGAGTTGTACCAGTCTGTAACCACCGAAGTGCTTGCCACATTTTCGGCTATTTGGTTACAGACTGGTTACGAGTCTAGTCAAATGAGTCGCCGCTCGGATGGTATTAACTGAAGTCTGGGGTTCAACTCCCCGCATCCGAGCTATGACAGAGTGATGGAGTGACTCCTTTTTTTCGGCCTGATTTTTTTTTTTCGCCACCCGCATCTAAGTAGAGGTTCTTCAAGGAAGAATGATGCGGATGCCGTTGTCCCGCGTTCTGAAAAATACGGGGTACGCGTCCCAAATTATAACGGGTGCGCTTCCTAAAATCATAACGGGTGCGCTTCTCAAAATCAGAATGGGTAGATGCCAAAATCGCATTTTGTGTTGTTGATTATTTCTCACTCATCGCCAGGTTGAATAGATGGAAAGTACCTCGGATGTGGTGCACGGTGCACGTCAGCGTTAAATAAATCGTCGACGCGTTTGTAATCGCTAAAGTCCGGGGTTCGACTCCCCGCATCCGACTGTCGGCTTGTAGCGTTTTTTTTATGCGGTCATCGCGCGGATAAATCTCCCCACTGGATCATGAATACTGGTGGTAATGGATGGATATGTTCCGCACACGCATCACTCTGGGTGTAAGTTGAACATGCCTGCAATGATTCAAATCACCGATTCGTCTTTCACTCATCCTCAGGTTTCAAGCAAAGTAACTGAATCGGATGTGGTGCACGGCACATGTCAGCGTCAAATAAACGATGGACGCAATTGTAATCGCTGAAGTCCGGGGTTCGACTCCCCGTGTCCGAATGTTCACGCGCGCTGTTGCCGACCTTTTTTTTTCCCGTCCCGGCATGAATATAATAAATTTTTGTTGTTTCCTTCGCCCAGCCTTGAATGGGGCGCAATTCAGGTAATAAATTTTCCTTCGAAGGCTCCGCTGTCCTCCAACATGATTGAATGCAATGTAACTTTTTGGCACTTGTTATACTGCTAGTAGCATTTTTTTCTTTTTCGATGTTCAAGTACATACTCATCCCAAGGTTCAATAGATGGTAGATACATCAAATGTGGTGCACGGTGCACGTCAGCGTCAGCTAGGTGTGCCCCCCAATACTGGGCTGAAGTCCGGGGTGCGACTCCCCGTGTCCGAATGCTGACCTCTTTCACTACGTTTTTTTCTCGTCCCGGCATGAATATAATATTTCTTTTGTTTTCTTTCAGCGCCCAGCTTGCAACTCCCTGCATCCGAATTCAGGTAAATCATTTTCACTTCGAAGACTCCGCTGTCCTCCAACATGATTGAATGCAAATGGCACTTGTTATAGTGAGGTTCGAATGGTAGAGAATACATCGGATGTGGTGCACGGTGCACGTCAGCGTCAAATAAACGATGGTCGCATTTGTAATCGCTGAAGTCCGGGGTTCGACTCCCCGCGTCCGAATCGTATACGTGCAAGCACGTTTTTTCTTTCTTTCCTGCTCCCATAAATTTTGGTTACCCTCACTAGCAAATAATAGCCCAAGCTGACCATCCTTCGGTCTCCCTTTCCAGTCTGTTTGGATGTGCAAAAATAATTCGAAGTTGACTCACAGTATTATTTCTATTGTTTGATGTTTGTGTAATTATCTCTCATTCATCCTCTGGTTCAGACAACGGCAAGTAATTCAGACGTGGTGCACGGTGCACGTCAGCGTCAAGTAGTGCTCGAATATCTATTCGTAATCGCTGAAGTCCGGGGTTCGACTCCCCGCATCCGAATGATCGAATGAGCGTCGAATGTCATTCTCTCTCCTTTTTTTTTACCTTCGTTCCCGCCTGAGTAAAATAAATCTACTATACTCATCACTGAGTAACTGACAGGACAAGCACTTGATCATTCACTCCCCGCTTCCACTATGTACAGAAATAATTCGCTGCCAGCAGGTCAAGTTGACTCTTAGCATTATTTATTTGTTCGTGGTTCAACTACTTATGAATAATTCACTCCCATCCCAAGGTTCAATAGATAGAAAGTACTTCGGATGTGGTGCACGGTGCACATCAGCGTAAAATAATTTGTGCCGATGGTATTACATAACTGAAGTCCGGGGTTCGACTCCCCACATCCGAACTGCATCTCTCCAGTTCCTTTTTTTTTTTTGGCGTCCCGGCATGCCAAATAAAATTCTGTTTGCCTTCGTCCAGCTTGAACGGGCCCGCATCCGAATTCAGGTAAATGATTTTACTCCAAAGTCCTCCAACATGATTGAACTTTTGGCACTTGTATACTGAGGTTCGAAGTGGTGCACGGTGCGCGGTACCGCACGTCAGCGTCAAGAAGCAAATGCCACTGATAGACGTAATTCGTAATCGCTGAGGTCCGGGGTTCGGTCCGACTACACCTTGTGCAAACCTTTTTTTTTTCTTTTTTTTTGGCATATATGTACTAGCAAGGTTAAGCGCCCGGGGTTCGACTCCCGCGTCCGAATTCCATCGTATATGTGCAAGCACTTTTTTTTCTTGGCATGCGGTGGAAGTGTGCAGCATGAAAATAAATAAAGAAGTTGATCGTTTCGTTCAACATGCCATTAGGGAAGGATTCTGGAGGCGATTCTTATCGACGATTCGCGTGAGAGAATTGCCGTCATGAGAATCTCACTTTTAATCGTGTAGAAGCTCCTCTGGAGGTGCTTCTGTGATGATCCTGAGGCGATTGTGATTCTCTGTCAATGGAATTGAATCTGTCCAGAATCGACCGAGCATCCCCCACATCAGAATCTACACCAGAATCGCCTCCGAATCGCTACTCTGACTGCCCTATTGCGCGCGCCCGCACGGTGAAGCAAGCCCGGCGGCGCCCGACGGCGCCTGCCAAATCTTGCCAAATCCTGCCAAATGCACTCGGTCCGCGAGGCTTTGCCAAGCGCTGGATAAATTGACAGCCCAAGACAGTGTTCCGAACAGAGACGGCCGCTGTTCGGTTCGCCAAAAAAAAAACAAAAAGAAGTCGGAGAGAGCGCCGCTGACGCTGACAAGTGATTGGCGAAAAAGAGTCCGCTATTTCCGACATGACAGGAGAAGGTGATTGCCGAGGGCTTTATTTGAATTTTACAGTACTGTGTGAGTTTTGGTCGATCTCAAAAGTTGTATACTGGAATGGATGAGCCAACACCAGACGGTTGCTGCGTTTGCAATTTGCTGCCGGCAGGTCAAGTTGGACTCCCTGTTATCGTTTGTTCAACCACAAGTTATTTCTTATGTACTCGTCCTACTGGTTCGATGTGGTGCACGGTGCACGTCAGCGTCAAATGTGTCGAGATGTTTTGGATAATTATAATGCATGGTCCGTGGTTCGGGTTCGATTTCCCGCGTCTGAATGGGCGGTCAGAAATATATATATATATGGCATCAAGATGTAGCATGCAGTGTTGATGTAGTGCAGTGGAGGTGTGCATGAAAATAAATAAAAGGACTTGCATCGCTGCTGCAATTCACGTCAAAGCGGTCCTGCAAGCCCGGCTCCGGAAGATAAAGAACGCCAAGTGAACTATTACTTCCTTTCTCGGTATTCCGCAAGTTTTCCGAAAGAAGAGCGCTGATCGGATATGATGCGAGCAATTAACGCACATCCGCTAATAGCCGATATGACAGGAGGGTGATTGCCGGGCGGCGGCGAAGCGAATTTCGATGTGTGGTTTTTTTCTGCTCTTTTTTTTTGTTTTTGAGATCTTGCTCGCATGCTTGTTGACCAGACCGAAGGTATATATGTGTACTCACACTTGCGATTTATTTATAGCGCGAAAGGAGAGCCGGGTAGAGTGTTAGAACGTGTATTGCGGGAATTGCCCGATCGAACGACGTGAAACGCGGGTCAAGCGCCGCCGCCACGGATCGAAATGACATCATCATCAAATAAATTAACGGTGATGTCATCGCTCTCCTCCGGTGCTGCTATCGAGTTGGATTTTACCTGCTTCAACGCCCACCACGCACAGAAAAAAACAAAGTAAATGTGTTCCGCTCCGCGACGGCGAGGATCTACAGTGGCCGGCGATACCCATAATTAAACCCGTAACAGAGAAGCAGAGAACCTAGCAACGATCCTCGTGTGACATCAAAGTGCAAACAATACACGCGGTATGACGTCGTGGTTCCGTAAAGGGAGCGCGAAAAGTTCTGCTCCACACCATCGTTGGTGTCCTTTCCTCGAAGCGAGACTCGAATCACCAATACCGCTTGCTCCACTACTACTGCTACCACGACGACTGCTCCACTGCGCCGACGACTCCACGACCGGCATTAACAAGAAACATACTACTGAGACCTCCTGCTAGATAGACGGCGGGCAGATCTAGAACGAAACGACTTGACGCACGGAACGGATCCAGACAGTAGAGAGATACAGAAAAATAACCAAGAAATAACGAACAATGGGCGGCGACCACAAATGTCCAGTGTGCCAGGCGACCTTTACGCGTCCCCAGCACGTCGCGAGGCATATGCGCTCTCGTACGTCCCTTTCCTCCTCGTATATGGATTCGTGTGTTATGAATTTCATTCACTCCATCCATCGCTTTATACGTTTTCCATTTCGTGGCACACGGCAGATCCGCATCCGCATCTGTCCTGCCGGTGGGGCCATCTGCCCCACCCACCCCATCTCCACGGTGTGTGTGGCTTTGGTGGAGCGTAGCGTAAAGATACGGGTGGTGGTCTCTTCCCCGCCGGTCTGTTCTTATCGCTGCCGTTTGCTGTCCCATATCACTGTCCGCTCTTTCTTCCCTTCCTACCATTCCCCACCACATGCATAGCTGACCGCCCCCGCAGACACGGGCGACCGGCCGTACAAGTGCCAGCACTGCGGGGATCAGTTCGCAAGGAGGTGTGTGTCGTGTCGTCTGTCTCCTTCCATTCCTCCCTTCCGTTCCTCCCCTTTCCCTCCCCTCCCCTTATACTCCCTCCCTCCTCCCTCTTGCGTTCAGTTTATTAACCCCAATCCCCAGCGACCTGCTCTCCCGCCACGTCAACAAATGCCACGCCGCTGAGAAGGCCTCCGCAGGCGCGCTGCAGGGCGCAGGCCAGGGTGCGGGCGGGGGTAAGTGCCTTTTTCTTTTTTCTTCTTCTCTGCTTTTCGTTTTTCGTTCCTCCTCCTCCTTCACCTCCTTTCCATGTCTCCCCATTTTTTTTCCGTCGGTGGATCTTTACGCGTCCGCCGCTGTTCTCGGGGCTGCGGCTCCCGAGCCCGCATGGCTTTTTTTGTTCCATCTTTTGTTATTATTATCTTTCTTCCTGATTTACTTTACCACGCACCCCCTTCCCCCTCTTCTTTATTCTCTTTATTCCTCCATTTTTATTTCTTTTACCCATCCCATAAACCCCTTACTCACCCATAGCAAACAAACAGGCCCTCGCCGCAAAACTACCGCGGCCGCGACGCGCGCGACGACGTCCAAGCAGGCGTGCGACCAGTGCGTGCAGGCCAGTCTGCCGTGCGACGGGAGTAATCCGTGTGGTGCGTTTGCGTTTTTCTTTTCTTGTTGATCGGTTTTTTTTGGGGGGGTGATTTTTTGTGTTCGCCTATGGGGAGGGAGGCGGATGTTTTTTTGGGGATGGTGTTTGGGCTAAACCGAATTGGGCATTTGGGATCGTCGTCAACGGGATTCTTTGGGGCGGATCTTCCCTCTTTCCTATTTTTGGTCGTGGGCTGCCAGCTCTCAGGCGATTCGTCGGCGTCTGTCCGCCGCGCGAAGAAAAAGGAGCATCTGTCTGCCGTGCGATGCCTTCTTTTTCGCGTGATGCATCCGGTGATCCCATGTGCTGGTCAGGCCGACGGCGCCGCTGCTGAGCTAGCTAGCCTATGGTGACGCTGTTGAACTTCGATCAAAGCGGAGGCTGGGGCTGGGTGTGTGGAGCGAGGTTGATGAGCACGCGCGGCGAGGAGGGCGAGGAGGCCTGGCCCTCGGACGGGTCGGGAGAATGGGCGACTCGCTGATGTTTCTTACGCTCGTCGGCCCAGTCAAGGACGAGGGAGACGCCGCCGTCGAGCCCTCGCGATATTGCCCCGGCTCTATTTATTCTCTTCATTCCTCGCTCAACGGGCCAGTTGTTTCTTTGCTTTTATTTTATTTTACTTCATATCTGTCTGCCCCCCGCATACGCTAACATCCTCCTTCCTCCCAGCAAAATGCATCGCCCGCAAGACACGCTGCACCTTTGTAAAGTTCCACCGGCAAACCGCGCCCGTGGGACCAGGGCACCCCTCGTCCGTCGCGCTCTCCGCGGCGTCCTCCTCCGGCTCCGCGTCCTCCATGCATTCCGGTTCGATGCACGGCGGCGCCTCGCTGCACGCGCACGCGCTCCCGTCCTCCGCGCTCGGGCACTCCGCCTCCTCCCTCTCCCTCGCCTCCACAGGCTCCTCCTCCGCGCGCTCCGTCGCAGACCTCGAGCAGCAGCTCGAGCTCG